TGTTCTGATAAAATGAGTCATATATATCTAGAATTAAAAAGAAAAATAGAGGGGGGGAGAGAAGCTATTAAAATAAAAGTCTTGACAAGATTTATGCGTTTCACTTACGTTATTCAGACACGAGCGACCAAATGAACTGATACTGGGCAGTCTTACTGACTTAAAATTCATAGTAAAACAACAACATACTATAAAATGATTTGCCCTTTTCTGTTCGTCCTTCGCAAAATAACGCCAGATAATGTAGCTTGTTCGAACACTATCGCCAATAAAAGAACATGAGAGAGAGCTGGGCTTGATTGAATGCTTTAATTTATAATTATGAGATTAATTTACCCTGTTTTGTCGTCCCGATAAAACGAAGAAATCGAAATACCTTAGCAAATTAACATTAGAAAAAGAAAATAACATGAAAGAGACCGCTTTTAACTACACTTAACTACTAAATATGGATAACTAAGCATATATTCTCTAATTGTTTTTATCATCTGAAATAATGACGTGCGATATTAATTATGTTGCAAATTGTCTGGTAAAGGTCTTCTGCTATGTCTGATCTATGTCGAATCTGCAGCATAGAAAACACTTTGATAGGGACACCAATGGAGGTCGCCCAAGCATCCCAAGAATGTTAAAGTCCTTCAATTACTGGTATGAAACCTTTTTTCTTATCTTTAAGATCCGCAATAAAAATCGGTCATTAAACGACCGCGGCCCCCATTGGCAATCATTCGCAAATAACGGTTACAAGTCAACAGTGCTCTTGTCTCGGTAATGACAAGTACTTACATAGATTTTTTAACGGTGCCCAAAGTGGCATGGAGGTAGGAAGTAAGATGGAGTCGCCCTAAACAAGTCTCTCCGTACCCTGCTATGAAGCACCGGCGATCCCTACGTGGTGACCAAACCATTGGGTCATTTACCATTGAGTTCTATGGGATTTGACGCGTTCGGGTGTAAATATTTTGTAATTACGTCGCAAATATACATATAAATGTATATATTTTCTTTTTTCTACAACACTTCAGAGTCCTAAGTATGTGAAAACAACATATTTTTAAACAGCATTTCATTCTGAACGGAATTAAATGCTATACTTTTCACAGGACAGTTTTCTCAGAATGGTTTAATTTGAATGAAATATTTTCACAAGTTTTCGTTAATTACATTAGAAAAACAAATTAAGGTAATTCGATTTTATTCGGTTGAGGTACAAAAATTAAGATCAAAGCTTATTGTATTATTAATATTAAAATTATGCATTATTTCTTTTCTATTTATAGAGCTTCTTCCTAAAATACTTTCTTAAATATGACATGATTTTTTGGCTTCTTTTAAATAGAAAAATGTAAGTCAATTTATAATTAATGCTCTATTCGGTTCATTTTAAATTAGATAATTATTAGGAATTAGCGAAATACTTTAAATAAGTATTTCGCTAATTCCTAATAATTAAATAGGTATTAAATAGTATTTGACTTTCTCTGAACATTCTGAAAGGGAATAAAATAAGTTTTTTTTTTTTTTTTTTTTTTTTAAGTATTATTTAAAAACTTGTAACTGAATTATTATAAAATGTAAGGGGAATAATTCTTTTAATTATACTTATCAGATTTTTTTTTACCCTTTATTTCAACAATACATATTCCAAAACTCTTTATTACGTTCTTAAGTGCGCATCTCATAGCATTTGCTTTACAATACCTTTTAACAGATTGCTTTCCAATACGAACAATTCTTGCTTAAAAAGTTTTATAACGTATTTGTCAACAGGATGTCAATTTATGTTTATAATTTAATATTAAGGTTATTATATATTTAGATAACATTTATAATCATTATAAATTAGATACATTTAATCATTAGATTTCTTCACAGTACTTTCACAGTTGTTTATAAGTGAATAAATTCTTCATTTCAAATACATTTATAAATAATTTAAATGAATATTTAAGTATTTTGTCAAAGGCAGATACATGCTTTTTTGCAAGCACATGCATAAATACCCATACCATATTTCCTATTTATCATTTCCGGCACGTGCAAATCTTTAATTTCTGTGCATTCACTATATTTTTCGTGTAAAGTAATTTACACTAATTTAGCATACACCCGAAAGTTTTACATAAAAAAATATATATGAATATAATTTGAATGAAAATTATAAGTATTATTTTTAATACCCACTCAAAGGTCAGTTTTTCTTCAAAATTCCTCCACGATGGCATCTCTCTCTTTAGGCAGATAGCCCTTGCATGCGTTACTCTATTTAATAAAAACTTAATCTGACCTATGTGCCTAATTAAAATATTTAACATACATAATTTTATATTTACATTTAGCCATCAAGTTTCAAACTTTTCAATCTTCTAGAAAATAAATTTTGGTAGATCTCTTTTAGCAATTTTCTTAAAATCTATATTTTGTAGTGCAACAGCTTAGAATTTATAAAACAAATTCATAATCAAAATCGCTGTTGTTAGTTATCGAAAATAACCAAGATGTGAATTTTGCGTAAATGTCAGTAAACTATACAAATTGCTATTATCCATCACACTATGAATGTTTCTTTCATGCGAGAGTGTCCCTTTTTCGATTTCTATGGAACTGTCGTGTGTCGAAATACTATCAGAATCTTGTCAAGCGAGCTTCTGAATGTAAACAAAGAACACCCCGTCTGGTGACCCAAGCTTCAAAGCAGTGCTTCACTTCTAGCACGGAATGGCCCCTCCTCCCTTTCCTACCTCCATGGAAAGTGGCCTATAAAGTAACATCCCTCCCCCCCCCGTAGCGGTAGAATTGACTGTCACTATTCAAAATCACTTAAGTCATGTTAGAAAATTAGCTTATCCTTAGCAAATGAAATGACATTAATGTAATATTTTGAAAGTTAATTTCTTAATAAGAGTTAACTTGTGAGTAGAACATGACAAGGTTTAAAGTCCTTTTTCTAATTTGATTTAATTAAAAAAAAAATCTGAAAGGTTTAAGATTTTAAACTACGTCTAAAGGCGCGTTTTTTTTTTTTTTTTTTTAACATTTTGTGTGTTACAGTTATTTATTAAATATCACGTTTTTCGCACTTAAACCATAAAATTCAGTTTTTAATATCGCATAATAGTTTTAAAATGAGCATATCTTTAGAATTTCCGATACAGAGACTCGCAAGCTGGAGATTTTTTTTTTTTTTTTTTTTTTTTGGTACAACGTTGCCATTACTCGCTTTGAAATCCTTGGGTTTCTTAATAAAAAATTCGTTAAAGTTTTACATAATAGGAAATCTATCATAAAACAAATTCCAAATCTCAAATTTGGTCTTCCACATGCCCATATTCGTAGGAAGATTACGTCATTCAAAATTCGATGGCTCTATGTACCGTTGTTTTATCACGATGCGAGAAATACACATACATTTATGCAGATTTTTCATCATTTAATTTTTTTCAAATATAATGCAGGACTCTAACATTCGGGGGCAACACATTGAAAAATGAAACAGACATTTATAGTGAACCAACGCAAAATCGCAAAACGAAAACAATAGTCCTTCAAGGACAAAGCCCCTTTAAACTAAAAATGAAGGTATATTTTATTTAATAATAATTAAAATATCATACAGTTTATGAAATTTTAATTTTATACATCTATAATAATGATATATGATACTTCAATACCGATTAAAATTATTAATTACAAAAAAATACTTATAAAATAAATTTCCCCACTAATGTCAAATGCTTATTTTTGGATATAAACAAATGCATTTTAAGAGAAGCTTAAACTTCAAAACTAAGCAGCCATTTCTATTTTGCATTTATTTTCATAGCTGAAACTTAAGCATAAATTTTTGTATGACCACACTTCTTTGAACGGAAGAAGGATTAGGAATTAGATAGTATTTAGATTACAGCTGGATTACGGTACTAGATTACAGTACTAGAGATGCCCGTCTAAAGAAAAGAAAGCCTTTATGGAGGACTTTCTGAAGAAAACTGGATCGTATTCACGTGTTGCTCATGGGCAAAACCATCAAAACTAATGCAAATGGCCCATCGCGGAGTATTGAAAGTGGTTCGAGCACGACAAATTCGTGTTTTGGTAAAGTCCGAAAAAAAAAATTGGAAAAAAGTGAAATCTAACTTTTAATGCGATCTCCCAGTTCCTACACGTATGTTTAGGAGAATTTTAAACTCGTTTACAAAAAATAAAACTACAAGAAATTTGACTGCTGTACGACAAAACTCGACGGGATCTTTAATTTCAAAATTTGCAATGTTTTATGTCATTTTCGACTTGCCCTGAGGTATCGGTTATAAGTTGGAATAATTCGAAAAAATAAGTTTAAAGGAAAGCCAGGAAAAAATGAGTATTATTTAAGAAATCGTACAAGGAAGTCTGTAGTATCCACATCAGAGTTTTTTCCTTTTATAATGCCTGTATTTAAGCTTTTTATCCAAATATTTTAAGAAAAATATTTTTTATACTTATTAAACTTAATTTCAAGTTTTATAGAAAATAAAATTAGGTAAAAAAGTTTATTGAATTTAATGAGTTATATTTCCTGATATAAAATTAAGATATCTTTTAGTTTTTAATTTTAATAAATTCAGTATCCCCTTTAAAGTTAGGGAAAACCTGAGATCAAAACTTGAGCTTTGTGCAAATATTTATAGTTCATATTACACCTTGTTCTACCCGTGAAATTATGTTATCTGAAAGTGCTTCGTACACCTGGTTCGGATAAGTCAGATTCTGTTGTATGTAGATTAAATATAAGTAAAGCATTGCTTTAGAGATTTTTCTAATTTTAAATGATGTAATGGGGGTTTACGATTATAAACATCCTTAACATTTAAAAAAGGTAGCAGTAACTGAAATTAATAAGCTTCCTGAAATTACTAGTAAGTCACTGAATTCTTGTTCATTGAAACGCTTTGTTTAAAATCGAATTAATGACAAATGAAAGATGAGAAGATAAATAAATAACCGTAAAAACTTACATTCTTATTCGTTGCACTGCGTTTCCACCAGCGGCCGAGCGGTACAGTCACTGAACTCTGGTATTTCGGTTTGGGGTTCGATTTCTGGCAAACGGGCTTATCTGCATGGACGTTTTCGTGGTTTTTACGAGCCAGTTTTCCTTCGAAAGTCCTCCACGAATACATCCCTCTATTTAGGCAGGCAGCCCTCGCCTGAAAACAAACCAAACTAAATTTTCTCTGAGCTTCAACAATTAACTGAATAGTATATCGTGTAGAGATGAGATAGCATATCTACGGCATTTACCACATTAGAAAGCACTACTAACAATTTACCATTGTGAATCATTTTCTCAAACAATAACCCTCACTCATATTCGCCGAAGTGTAAAATATTTAAATTTTCTTTTAAATTTTTATGTTGTTGGTTAACAAATTAAGCAATTTAAAAGCAATATACGCATTCTTCAAAAACTTCACCTCTTTTATTATTGATGTATAGCTGAGCAGGTGAATTTATACTAACTGGACTCATTAAAGTAATTATATATTTCTTCTTTTTGATAATAATTACTTTAGAGCTAGTGGATCAAAATATTTTATGACGCCACGAACAAATTGCTGTAGCAATGTTTCCCTCCAATACTGATTTCTCCGCGATGTTTTCACTAGGAAATAATTAGTAAGCACCAAACAAACAAACAAAAATACATCTTTTATTTATTTTTAGTAACTTTCTCTTTAGTTTCGAGATTAAAATCTACCGCGTTTACAACTGAATGAATGAATGCGAGAAGTTATGCGTAGAGTTTCCACATGTTCTAACTGAATATATCGAAATTTTCCTTCAGGATTTAACACTCTATTGCTCTCCCTTTGCTTGAAAGATACGTAAGTAACTTTTTTTTTTTTTTTCTTTTAGTCCAAAGGGGCGTGTCCCTGAAGGACTATTGTTTTCGTTGTGCGATTTTGCGTTGAATCACTATCAAAGTTCATTCACTTTTCAAACTGTTGCCACCAAATGTTAGAGTCCTGCATTATGTTTGAGGAAATTAAATAATGAAAAATCTGCATAAATGTATGTCTATTTCTCGCATTGTGATAAACAACGACACATAGAGCCATCGAATTTTGAATGACGTAATCCTACTACGAATATGGGCATGTGAAAGCCCAAATTTGAAATTTGGAATTTGTTTTATGATCGATTTCCCATTTTGCAAAACTTTAACGAATTTTTGAGTAACAAACTCAACGATTTGAAAGCAAGCAGTTTACCCGGGGGGGGGGGGACCTTTTTATTTCCAGCGCGCGGAACTGTGTATCGGAAATTGTAAAGATAGGCTCATTTTAAAATTATTTTACGACATTGCTATTGAACTGAAATTTATGGTTAAGGTGCGAAGAACATGATATTTAATAAATATAGGTAACACACAAAAGTTAAACAAACGCCTCTTTGGACGTAATTTAAAATCTAAAACCTTTCATATATATATATATATATTATTATTATTCACTAAGAATTCTTCTTGCTTTGCTTTAGTTATTTTTAATTCTATTTTTAGCCCCAAAGGGCTATTAATTTCGTTTTGGCACTTTGCGCTGATTCATTATAAACGGCGAATCACTTTTTAAATTGCAGCCACCAAATATTAGAGCCCTATATTATATTTAAGAAAATTAAAAATGAAGAATCTGCATAAAAGCAAGTAAGTTTCTAGCATTGTGATAAAATAAAGGTACCTAAAGCCACTAAATTTTGAATAACGTAATCTTCCACTGAATATGAGTATCTGGAAGCCCTAATTTGGAATTTGTTTTATTATCTATTTCATGCTTTGTAAAGCATTTATGAGCTTTTGATTAAGAAACTCAACGATTTTAAAGCGAGCCATTTCAATGCTGTACGGGGGGGGATTATTTTCAGCGCGCGAAACTGTGTATCGGAAATTCTAAAGATATGCTCTTTTAAATGTTTTTTGATATTGCTGTTGAATTGAATTTTATGGCTTAAGTGCGAAGAACATGATATTTAATAAATAAAGGTAACGTACAAAACGTTAAAAAAACGGCTCTTTGGGCGTAATATAAAATCTGAAAGCTTTCAGATTCAGCTCTGTTATATATATATAACAGTGCTTAAAATGCGCCGGAGCCCGACTCCGGTGCTTCTCAGTTTGCGAGATAAACCATAACTTTAGACGGAAGGCACTGGAGCCCTAAATAAAAGGACTCCAGTACTTCTTTTGTGTAAGTTAACTATAATTTCATCAAAAAAAAAAAAAGTCTCTTAATACTAAATATGCCTTAAAAATCGATTCTAACTTCTGAATGCAGGCATGTCCACTTCTGAGGAAAGAAAAGCCCACCCACATGTCGAAGGCTTATTTTCCAGGAAATAAATCCTTAACATTGGCAACTGATGCATCACCAGTAGGGTTAGGTGCGGTACTTTCTCACAAACTTCCTGATTGAACAGAAAGGACAATTGCATATGCTTCAAGAACACTGATTGAAACGGAGAAAAAATATTCTCGAACCGATAAAGAAGCTTGTCAATCATTTTGGGAAATAAAAAAAAATTGTCCGTACTTAAAACGCAGGAAATTTACATTAATTACAGATCATAAACTTCTTATTGAAATTTTCGGCTCAAAGAAAGGCATGACAGTTTTGGCAGCAACAAGACTCCTACATTACGCTTTGACTTTACAGTCATTCCAATTCGATATTATTTACCGTAAAACAAACGAGTATGGTAATGCTGACTTTCTATCACGATTGCCGACGAAATCAGAACTGTCTGTTCACGATGATGTAACTATTTTTTAATTACAGCAGGTTGAAACTCTTTCTATCACGGCCAGAGATTTGGCTAAAGAAACTGAAATAGATGCTGAACTCAATCCTCTGCTATAATTACTTCAAAGCGGCGGTGAATTAAAAGGAAGGGAGATGGAGTACAGTCTCCAAGAGGGCTGTATAATGTATGGTCAACACGTTTGTATTCCAAAACGATACCGTGATAATGTTTTGAAAGAGTTGCACCACGGACACTTAAGGACTATAAAGATGAAAGCAACAGCTAGATCTTACGTATTTTGGAATGGTATAGATAAAGATATCGAAAATACTGCTAAGAACTGTTCTGAATGTGCAAAACATAAAATAGATCCTCCTAAGGTAAAAGTTCATCATTGGGAGTACCCAAGCGCTCCAATGGAACGTATTCACATTAATTACGCAGGAAATATTTTTGAGCATATGTTTTTGCTAATCGTCGATGCTCACTCAAAATGGCTAGAAGCCTATCTAATGAAATCAAGCTCGACTTTCAAAACAATAGAATGTTTACAGGACTTTTTTGCACGATTCGGATTACCAATATTGTTAGTGAGTGATAGCGGACCACAATTCACTTCACATGAGTTTAAGCTATTTCTACAGGTAACGGAATCAAACACAAACCTACAGCACCATTTAAACCATCTAGTAATGGGCAGGCTGAACGGTATGTGTTTGCAGTAAAACAATCTTTAAGAACAATACAAAATTATTCAGAACTTTGAGACAAAAACTCAGTACATTTTTGATGCAATATAGGAAAGCTCCGAATCTAACTACTCTACAAAGCCCTGCAATGCTAATAATGCTGAAGAGGAAAATTCGAACAAGAATAGATTTATTGAAACCAGATCTCAAAAGGAGGGTGGAAGACAGAGTTCGAAAAGGAACCTACGAGTTTGCAGACCGAGGATTTAGAGTAGGACATAGAGTGGCAGTAAGAAATTATCGCCAAGGTGATAGACGATGGAGATTTGGAACCGTCCAATCCAAGGATGGGCAGCTTCATTACACCATAAATGTAGATGATCAGCTATGGCGACGACATATCCATCAGATCCCTGATCCGTAACAGATGAGCGGTTCATCCGTCCACCTCCAGCTCTCGTGATTTCCAAATAGCCTGATAAGAGTGGAGTTCCAGAACCATCCAAAGATCATAGCCACCAGGCAAATGAGTCTGTGTCGTCCTCGGAGCTCAAGGTTGTACGAGATGTTCCATCCACTGGACTTGATGCTGATACAACCAGGTTACCAAAAAAAAAAAAAAAAAAAAAACCACCAGTGACACAACCTTTGCGTCGGGTCCAGTAGAATTCGACGTTCCCAGATAGACTGCAGTTATGATAAAGGGGGAAGGATGTGGTATATCGAAAATTATCGATGTGGTGTATCATAATCGGACTTAAAGCTGGCACAGCGCCAAGCAACGAAAAGCGCTCAGTAATAAGAGAAGGGCTGGAATGCGAGTGGCTGTAGTTATGAAAGTAGCTGTAGATATAAGTCTGTATGCAAGTGATGATACATTTTGTATATATAATAAAAGTAGCATGTACTTTAAAAGAGTGTGTTTCGGGAAATAATTACCCACTAAATGATACACGTTACTTTAATTACTGAATGACCAACAGATTAAGTATATCCAAGCAGTAAAAATTCTTTCCTTATTTCAATATAACGGATATTGAACCTTGTAGGAAGAACAAAGCTAAATTTTCAGAATGAACAAAATACTTTTATTTGAATTTAAAAACAGAACCAAAAATAAATAAATAAATAAATGCTGCAGCTCTTAACTATCAAAATTTTAAACTCTTAACTACTACAGTTAATACTCTTACAACTATTAAAATACTCAAAAATCTTAAAACTCTCTCTAAACAAAATATATATATAAAAATCTTCCGAATCCCTTCTTGTTGCCACACCGTAAAATGCAAGTTCTTATCCTATTATTTATATTTCACGTTCTCTTTAAGTCACGATCTTTACAAGTCATGATCTTTACAAGTCACGATCTTTACAAGTCATGATCTTTACAAGTCACGATCTTTACACAAGCCCCATATATATATATATATATATATTATATATATATATAAATTTTTCACCTGCCAAATAATTTCATATAGATCCAGCAGGCCTTACTTCATGATATGTGGATCCAGAGTTCCCCAGCCTATTTCGACCATGGAGCATTTAAATGCGACTTTTGGTCAAAGAGATTCCTCATATAAGAATATTTCGAAACGTTCATGATTCCATGCGTGACCCATGTCAAAATTTTTTTCAGTGGTACACACCTTTAGGTGTTCTTCTTTTCTTTAGGTGTTTAGTTCGAACACCTTTAGGTGTTCTTTTA